GTATATCTTAAATGTAAAGAATATATGTTAAGGTACAGAGAAGATGGCTTAGAATGTAAAGTACTTGCCAAGTTTGCATGGATGGCAATTTTGAGATTGGTATAAAATAGGCAGATCCATCAAGTGAGCTCATTGGTTAGCCAGCCCAGTTTAATTGCTGTGGTTCTCCAAGATAGAAGGTAGATTAGATACGTTTCAGTGAGGAAAGGTGATGGCTGTCTACTCTGAGTATTAGAGTTGGATCCCTGGTATTCATATAGTGCACAAGGGAATGGACTCCCTCCTATATGTGGGATTCCACGTACATACATTGCCATATACATACAGATAATGTACTTAATCACTTTTACTACTATATTTTAATATAAATTTCATTTTTTTAACCTTACAGAGAAGAAGAAGTTGGATGGGATACAGAGATTAAAGATGATGTGATTGAAGAATGTAATAAACATGGAGGAGTTATTCATATTTATGTTGGCAAAAATTCAGCTCAGGTATTTTGATTTTTTTTTTTTCTCTTTGTGTATCTTTGTGTTTTGTTTGTTGGGTTTGTTTTTTGAGAGGGTTTCTTTATGAAACTCTACCTTTCCTAGACCTCACTATGTAGTCCAGAGTACTGGGGCTTAAGTTCCAGATTGAAGATATATTATTTTGTTTTTTATCTTACTTTTGACATAATTAGGGCAGGTTATCATATGTCACCATATTTCATTAGTTTGTTTTGTTTTGGGGGGGGTATTTGTTTTTTAGTTTTTTCAATGCATTGTTAATGCATGTGTTGTGATTTATGATAAGCACAAACCACTGTGCTTGCTTAGTGGTGACTCCTGAAAGAAACTTGTGCTAACTAAACATACCCTCCAAAAGAAAGGCAAGATCAAAGTAAGTGAAATTTGATAAGGGCTGTGTTATAGATCAGTTGATTTATAGATTTTTGGAACTCCTACAGCTTCTTCAGCTTTTATTTAAAAGTCTATAGGGCATTGGGGAAAAAAAATCAAAAAGAACAATACCTTATGTAAAAATCACATTTTCCGAAACATTCGAGAAATTGATCATAAGTTGTTAGCATGAATATGAAGTCCTAAGTTTCTGCAAATGACCTGAGTAATTTTGTGAGATTGTGTATTCAGTGTAATGTTCAATTTTATTCATTACTTTTTTCTCTTTGTACTTTTAGGGCAATGTGTATGTGAAGTGCCCATCTATTGCTGCAGCTATTGCTGCTGTCAATGCATTGCATGGCAGATGGCCTGCTGGTAAAATGATAACTGCAGTGTATGTACCTCTCCCAACTTACCACAACCTCTTTCCGGATTCTATGACAGCAACACAACTACTGGTTCCAAGTAGACGATGAAGGAAGATATAGTCCCTTATGTATATAGCTTTTTTTTTTCTCTTGAGAATTCATCTTGAGTTATCTTTTATTTAGATAAAAATAAAGAGGCAAGGGTCTACTGTCATTTGTATACAACTCCTGTTATCTTGAAAAATAAAAATGTTAACAGGAATGCAGTGTGCTCATTCTCCCTAAATAGAAAATCCTACTTTATGCAAAGCTGTTTGCTTGTTCTGCCGTTTTAAATGTCCATGTAGAAAATCACATTAAGGATCTATAGAATAGCTCTAGGGAAACATGTGCTTTCTGTGTAAAAGCAGACAGGTAACGTTTGAATGTTCCAGAAGCCTGACTTTTTACACAGCACTTAGATTTCACATTCCTTCATGTATTTGGCTCATGGTTCAGTAAAGGTTTCTGGAATGTACATTTAGTTATGAAAAGTCTAGGCAGCCAAGACGCTCTTTAGCATCTCACCTTGATCATTTGGCAAGAAGGGGATTTCAAAATTATATTTCTTGATGGTAACTTTTCAATTAATGTATCTGTAAAAGTTTCTTTGTAAATACTGTGTGTTTTAGTGTGTCTTGAGATTCCAAACAAAATGATCCCTGCATTTCCTGAAGATGGTTGATGTAACAGTTTGAGCAAAGCAGTCTGGGGAAGAGATAGGAAATGCAGAAATAGGTTTTGTCTGGTTGCATATAATCTTTGCTCTTTTAAGCTCTGTGAGCTCTGAAATATATTTTTGGGTTACTTCAGTGTGTTTGACAAGACAGCTTGATATTTCTATCAAACAAATGACTTTCATATTGCAACAATCTTTGTAAGAACCACACAAATAAAAATCTCTGAAAAAGGTCACAAGAAAACTTTCGTTTTTCAAATGTTTTGATGTTCCAAACCTGAGCATAGGCTGTTGTGGTTTTTTGTTTTGTTTTCAAATTAGTGTCTCAGCACTATCATTTAGGTTTACCACAATTTGAAGATGTTATTGTCTCTGCCTGTGGATTGTTGTGAAGGTGGATAGATATATATGTCAGCACACATAGCCTAGTGTTAACTTGATTGATTCTTACTAATGCTTGGCGTTTCCCACTGCGGGAAATATTTCTATCATAAATCACATCCTGAGCTTGGTGTTTACTGTCCTCCTACCCTTTGGGAATTCTCTGGAGCTGCTCTATATTTATCGTGATCCTTAAGGTATTCTATCAAAAGCTAGGAAAATTCTTATCCTTATCTACAATGCACGCTAGTTGCATAAGTGGTAGTTAGGGTGAAATGCTTTTCTATTCGGTAGAGTTATATCTTAAATCCGGTACAAAGATTACTGGTAATGAAATTTTGATCTTGTGTCTGCCAACTAGCCCCAAAATTGATCACTGCACTCCTTCAAATCTTAGAAGTCTTTTTTTTTTTTTTTTTTTTTTTTTTTGAGGCAGAGGCCTGGAGAGATGGCTCAGAGGTTAAGAGTACTGACTGCTCTTCCAGAAGTTCTGAGTTCAACTCCCAGCACCCACATTTTGGCTCATAACCACCTAATGAGATCTGGCGCCGCCTTCTGGCCTTCAAGGGTACATGAAAACAGAGCACTGTATACATAAGAAAGAAATCTTTTAAAAAAATTGGAGGCTTTGCCTCCCTGTAGTCTTGACTGGCCTGTAATTTGTTATATAAAAATCATGTCCTCAAACTCAGCTCTTTGCTCTGCATCTGACCTATCCCTCTGTTAAAATAATTTTAATGCCATGAATATTTTGTCAGTATATTTCTTAGTGTGCAGCACATTCATAGTTAGCTCTTGTGGAGGTTGGTTCTTCTGGAATTACGGGTATCGGTGGTTGTCAGTTACAAAGTGGTTGCTGGGATCTGAAGCCAGGTCCTGGAAGAGCATTATTGCTAAACCACTGCTTATTTTATTTTTTCAGAATAGTCAATATGGATTTCAGTGGACCACTTGGTTTTCATAGCATGTCAGTTCTTTTAAAGGTTGAGTCAACCCTAGGGGATAATGTTGGATCTGCCATTCTTTTGCAGGTAACAAGTATGACCACATCAGTTTAACCAATCCAAGCTAGCCAGCCAGCACACCTTGTCTTATAGATAAATCCAGGGTGGAAGGGGTAAATGGGAGTAAAAGTTTTTTTTCTTGAATAACATTGTTCAAAGTGCATTTTTTTTTAAAGTTCTTTATTATGTATACAGTGTTCTACGTACATGCCAGAAGAGGTCACCAGGTCAAATCAGTATCACAACCATGCATGTGGTTGCTGGGAATTGAACTCTGGTCCTCTGGATGAGCAGCCAGTGCTCTTAGCCTCAGCCATTTCTCCAGCCCCCAGAGTGCATTTTGAAGTGTTCCATTCTGTTTGGTAACTGCAATTGTATCCTCCTATGCTAACAAATCTGAAGTTGAAGCTGGTTGGTGGTGGTGCATGCCTTTAACCATTAATCCCAGCCAACTCAGGTGGATCTCTGACTTTGAGGCAAGCCTCTTCTACACAGCAAGATCAAGGACAGGCACCAAAACTACACAAAAATCCTGTCTCCAAAAAAAAAAAAAAAAAAAGAAATCTGTAATTGCTAAGCCTTAATTTTCAATGTGCCCTCAAAACACTTAAAACTTCTGTATTTTTATTGTCTAATTATCCAAGTTCTGATCAATATATAGGTGAAGGGTAATCCTAATCAGAAATTTTAACAAGACCAGTCGGGTCTGGTTCCTTGCCTCCTCATAGTGTTATCCCATTAACCCAGTAAGCAGAATTTTATGAGCACGGTACATAATTAAAATGTCCAATGTTGAGGCTAGTTAGAAGGTCATATGAGATGATTTAGGTATTTGAGAATACCGGCCGTTTCACATGTTTTTCATAGCAGATAAATCATTGTTTCTGAAGCTGGGAAGACAATCGACACTCGTGTGTGACCATGTTCTAATTGTATACTTTTGTTTGCCAACTAATTAATGTTTACAATATTTGATAAGCTGAACCAGGACTTGTGAAAACATTTGTTTTTTGAGACATTTTCTCTGTGTAGCTTTGGAACCTGTCCTGGAACTCAGGCCTGTAGAACAGCTTGGCCTCTAACGAAGACATCCTCCTGCCTCTTACCTATAAAGAACTGGGATTAAAGGCATGTAGCACTATCATCCAGCCAGGAATCTGCACTTTTATTGGCTCAAATATTTAAGAAAAATTTGTATGGCTACCTCCATCTTTGGAGTGCTCCTATTAGATTTGTATGCCAACAAGTCTGGCTTGAAATTTAAGTACTAGTGGTATGCTTGCATATACTCAAGGTGTACCATATGTTCCTGGTGCCTGTAGAAGCCAGAAGATCCCAAGGAATTACAGAAGGTAGAGTAACTGTATGGATATCTGGACTGCAACCTCTTAAGCCCTTAGCTTATGCTTTTATTTTATTTTTTTATTTTATTTTTTTTTAATTTATGTATACAGTGTTCTGTCTGCATGTATCCCTGCAGGCCAGAAGAGGGCACCAGATCTCATTACAGATGGTTGTGAGCCACCATGTGGTTGCTCAGGACCTTTGGAAGAGCAAGTAGTGCTCTTAACCACTGAGCCATCTGTCCAGCTCAGCTTATGCTTTTAAATACTATATCTTTGGAGTAAAAATAGGCTGAGACTGAGAAGAAAAATCTTTATTATTGTACAAGGGTCAAAATGGATGGGAAAATATAGATGCAGGCAATCTCTGCCCTGATTAGCATCGTATGCCCATTCCAATGGCCATGAATGTACCAAAGGTGCCGCCACTCTGCATCATGGTTTTCCCAATGCCACCCATCAGCTCTCGACCTCGCATTCCGATCCTGAGGAGGCAAGCAAGAATGGGTTATTTTAGGAATGATACAGGAATGAAATTTGAATTAACTTTCCCATTTATAATGAGTGTTGAACTATATCAAGCATTAATAGCTTGACAATCCCTTCGCCTCAGTCTTGTGTTGTTTTGTTTTTTTGAGTCAGGGTTTCTCTGTAGCTTCAGAGCCTTTCCTGGATCTCTAGCCCAGGCTGGCCTTGAACTCACAGAGATACTCCTGGCTTGTGCTACCACCGTCCGGTTTCTTGTTTGTCATTCTTAAGATGTTACTCTCCCCAAGGAAGATAAATAATGTCAAGGAAAAGATCTAAGGGCTCTAGGACATTATGTCTTGAATGCCACATTAATTCCCTTCTGTTTGTTTGTAGAAGGAAGATTTATAGAATGAAGTAGTATGGACATGAAAAGCAGTCACGACTGTGATATTATTCAATAGACGTGTCTTCTAGATGATTCCTTAAGTTTATTTTTGGAGTTTAATCCAGATTAAAAATCAAGCTGGGGAATTTATAAGCTGCGTGAAGTGTAAAATGAACATCATTATGCTTACAAACTACACTCTTTAGCCCGATATTTAACCAGTACTGAATAAATAGTAATTTATAAGTACATTACCCAAATGTGGAGATAGCCTTTAGAATAACAGTTTATCAGGTAGAATATTTGACTACAGAATTAAGTTTATCGGCATTATCGCTACACCTTATTTTCAGGACAGTAACACAGCTCAACAAGCTCGTTTCATTACACGCAGTTGGAAGTTAAAATGCCATGGAACAAAACCCACTGCGCGTTAACCATGTGCCAGATTCTATCTATGTAAAGGCACACTAATATGACTGCTCCTTACAAAAGTGGAGGTAAGCGTACTGCCCTCGACTACAGCTGCGGAAACTCTGCCTCTAACTTGCCTAAGGTCACCGAACTACAACGGAGTCAGAAAGCCATTTTGACTCTAGAGCTCAGATCCCTAAGCACTGCGCTTCCAACCTCAATCAACTTGGTGTGCTCTCGGGTCCGAGGAATCCAGGAAGTCCCGCCCGCGAGGCTCACCTGAGACAGGAGAAGGTGCCGAACAGCGCCCCGGCCGCCATGCCCACGGCGCACCCCATGACAAAGCCCATCTTGACACGGTCGAAGCAGCTGGGCTGGGACTGCCCGTAGGGACCCACGGCCACCGGCATCTGCGGTGAGAGGGCTACGACAGTGAGGGCCCGGCCGCCAGGCGAGGGTCAGCCAGGGGCACACGGAAGCGCTCCGCAGGACCCAGGCCCAAGCCCGCCGTGGCACGCCTCCACCTCCCTCCCAGGGCCGAGGACCCCGCACGCGAGGCGCAGGGCTCGGCCCGGCCCCACCTCACCTCGTTCGCCGCCGCGTTCGCTGGGCTCTACGTCTCACACCGAAAGCTAGGCGGAGGGCGCTCGCCGCCCGTCGGATCGCTTCCGGAGCGCGGGGCAGTTACTTCCGGGATCATGGGCTGAGGACTTGCAAGCGCTGCGGATGGTGGGCTCTTCTGCTGGGAGCATGCTGCGAGCCGCTTGGAGGCGGGCGGCTTCGGCTGCCAGCGCTGTGGCCCGGTCGGGGTTCACGGCGCCCACCCGGGGCTTGCGCCTGCGCGGTACGCTCCCCTCCCCTTAGTGCCTACCCTCCCCGGTAGCCCGAGGCCGTTGGGTCGTCGCTGCTAAGCACTGCGGTGTTCCCGAGCCTGTCCGCCCCGGCTCCAAACCTTCCCGTCGCTTGCTCTCTCACGTTCTCAGGATGGCGCTTACATCCTTCCACGGCTGTAGTCCTTCAGATCTCTCCTGACCAAGTGTTGCTAGTCGAGGCTCCTCCAGCCATGAACCTTTGAGGGAACCTGCGCTCTTCACGTTTCTTATAAATGTGTTTGCTTTTTAGAGCCCATCCCACTCTGCTGGAGAGCTTCCCAATAGTGAAGATCGCTCCCTATTGCCACCAACGTCCCTTCAGGGAACCCTGAGTCTATTCCTTCCCTCGATGTCCTGCGTTGTTTCCCTTTGACAGCCGACCGCACTCTTGCTCAGTTCACCTCGCAGTAGCTGTGACCGTCTGTTGTCTTGTGTACCCTGCGTCCGCGGCTGCATCCTCTCTCACTTTGGTACTCCATTCTGTTGTCAGTTGCAGATCATGCCCTCCATTCGACTGTTCCCTCAGAGGCAGTGCTACGACCCCTCTACATGGATGTGCAGGCTACAACTCCTCTGGTAAGGACTAAGGGGAAGCTTTCCCCGAGACTCTTTGAAGGGAGGAAAGATTAGAACAACAAATTTCACCGAAATTTCTGTAGAATTGAGAACCATTAAATGTGATAGAAAAGGGAGCCAGGCACCAGGAGACTTGGATTTGAGTTCAGTAGAAAAGGCTTTACCGCTTTTTTAGCTATTGACTGGTCAAATCGCTTTCAGTGACAGGTATTGTAGTTAATAAATAGTCCATGCTCAGGCCTTGGAGCTGGATTTGTGGCAGCGGGAGTTTGAGTGAGCTCAAGGCCAGCCTGGGCCACATAGGGAGCTTCAAACCTATGTTTGAAAGAGAGAGAGAGAGAGAGAGAGAGAGAGAGAGAGAGAGAGAGAGAGAGAGAGAGAAAGAAAGGAACAGAAAAACATGGAGTGAGCAGTGGTGATGCATGCTATTAATCCCAGCATCCGGGAGGCAAAGGCAGGCGGATCTCTCAGTTCCAGGGAATCTGACACCCTCTTCTGGACTCTATGGACAGGGCACTAGGACATGTATCTCTCTCTCTCTCTCTCTCTCTCTCTCTCTCTCTCTCTCTCTCTCTCTCTCACACACACACACACACACACACACACACAAGCAAAACACCCATTCATATAATTAATAAAGTTTTTTTTTTTTTTTTAAAGATAGTGTTGCTACTTTTTTTCAGCAGGGTGGCAGGAGGCGGGTGGATTTTCCATACAGATTCTCTCTGTATAGCCTTGGAACTCACTCTGTAGACAAGGCTGGCCTCCAACTCAAGTATCTGCCTGCCTCTCCCTCCTGATTGCTCGGATTAAAGGGGTACACCACCACACCCAGCAGGATTACAAATTTAAGGCCAGACTGAAATACCTAAACCCCTATCTTTCAATAAACAAATAAAAGAAATATTAAAGACTGTTTATAAACTTCTCGAGGGCATAGCAGAACCTTGTGGTTTAAGGTGGTTTTGAAGTGGGACTATTTCAGGTCAATATTTGACTAGTATGTGAGGAGGTGGAAGAATTCAGGCAGCCTCGGAAGGGTTGGAAATACACTGAGCAAGGTGGGTGGTTATGAGCGGATGGAGTAGGTTCTCAGTTGATTACCTATTATTCTCTTGTGTTCAGGATCCCAGGGTGCTTGATGCCATGCTCCCGTACCTTGTGAACTACTATGGGAACCCACATTCTCGGACTCATGCGTATGGCTGGGAGAGTGAGGCAGCCATGGAACATGCTCGTCAGGTTAGCACAAGGTTCTGAGAAGTTCGGGAGTCCTGTGGGAGGCATTTCTAGGAAATGGTTGTATTTCTAGGAGAGATTCAGAGAGTAGCTTTGGAGTTTAACTGCAGGTGTTTAATTACTTCCCATAGTCACTGGGTCAAGTACCTTGGCCAAATCATCTCATTTCTCTAAGCCTTATAATCCTCACCTATGAAGTGAAAAGTAAAATAGTTGATGCTCTATACAATTATAGATAAATTAAAAGGAGACAGTGCTGGTAAAGGTTAACACTGCTGTGTGGCTCAAAAAGTACACAGAAAGAGTTCAGTAAATACATTTTAAAAATGCATTTCTTGGGTCAGTGGGATGCCTGCATAGGTACCTTAACTTAAGTTTGATCCCCCAAAATCCACATGCTGTGGCATGAATGTCCCCCAGACAAAAATAAATGTTAAAGAAAAAAACTTAAAAACAAAATTTGTCATTAAAAAACATTTATTTTTACATTTATGCATATGGATGTTTTGCCTGTGTGTGTGTGTGTGTGTGTGTGTGTGTGTGTGTGTGTGTATGTATATGTGAACCGTGTATGTGCCTGATGCCTGAGGAGGCCATAAGAGGCTGTCAGATCCCTTGGAACTGGAAGTTAAGGATGGTTGTGAACCACCATATGGATGCTGGGAACTGAACCTGGGTCCTCTGCAAGAGCAGCAAGTGATCTTAACCACTGAGCCATCCTTCCAGTTCCTTACTTGACATTGAGTTAGAATTTTTTTGTTGGTTGTGATTTGTTTTTTCTTGACATGGTTTCATCGTGTAACAGCCAGAGCTGTCCTGGAACTCACTCTGTAGACCAGGCTGGCCTCAAACCTCAAACTCACAGAGATCCACCTGCCTCTGCCTCCGGAATGCTGGGATTTATGATGTGTTCGACCACACCAAGCAAAAACATTTTTTTGTTTTGTTTTGTTTTGAGACAGCGTTTCTTTGTGCAGCCCTGGCTGTCGTGGAACTTACTCTCTAGACCAGGCTGGCCGTGAACTCAGAGATTGCACCTGCCTCGGCCTCCTGAGTGCTACTACCCAGCAATTCAATTAGGAATGTGTGTGCATGCATGTGCTTGCTTGTGTGCATGTATGTGTACACATATGTACTAAAATATGTATTGTGGAGGTCAGGGGACAATTTGGAGCAGGCTCTCTCCTTAGCATGAGGGTCTCAGCGAATGAAACCTGGGTTGTCAGGTTCTGCAGCAGCGTCATGACCCACTGATGCCTCTCACTGGCTCCCTGCTTTGGTTGTTTGAGACCAGTTTCACATTCCCGTCTCAGACGGCCTGGAAGTCACTGGGTGTCCCAGGCTGGCCTCAAACTCGCGGCAGCTGTCTCACCCCCACCTACTGAGTGCTGCGATTTCCGGTGCACACCACCCTACCTGGTTTGTTCAGTGCTCGGAATCAAACCCAAGGCTTCATAAACCTCAGGCCAGCCCTCTGGCAGCTGAGCCACATCCGACATTCTCACCAGCCTGTCCCAGAATGGAGAAAAAGAGAATATCTAAGCTGCAACAGTCAGTTCTCTGTTTAGCCCGAGTCTGACCCAGTAGGCACATTTTCTTTGTGGGCAGTGGGTAGATTGCAGTGGAGCTTCCTCGACACAAAACCCTGCCCTAGCTGTGTCTGAAGCCCGACTCCTGCCTGGGGACTGATGCTGTGTATCTTTGGCTCTTGGCTTACAGCAAGTAGCAGCTCTGATTGGAGCTGATCCTCGAGAGATCATTTTCACAAGTGGAGCTACTGAGTCCAACAACATAGCCATTAAGGTAAGAGACAGGGCTGGGGCGTGTGTAGTGGAGTCTTAGCATGGGAGGAGCATTTGGGAAGAAGAAGGACAGAAGGAAACAGAAGAGAGCCAGAAACTATCTGGGCTTCCTCGGGTTTAGAGTTCCATGCTCCTCTATCATTTGGAGGCATAGTTTTTTTTGTTTTTGTTTTTCCCAGCTATCCATTCATCCCTATTTTTTTCTTCTGCCTTTAAAAAAAAAAAAAAAATTGGTTTTGGAGTTGTTGGACAACTTTGTGGAGCCCGAAACCTCCTTCCCCCTTTCCTGAGTATCAAATTGAAGTCACCAGGCAAGTGCCTTTGCCTCCTGAGCAATCCTGCAAGCTTTTCTTCAGCCTTTTGCAGTCTATCTGGTTTGTCTTTTATTCTAGTGGTCTGAGCGCAGTGTGGCCGTGGATAGAAAAGGAGGTGGCTCTTAGGCCACTAACAGTTGGGTTTTTTAGGATGTTAGTCCTTTTTAAAACAGTGGGTAACAGTAACTGTCTTAGGTTTCTGTTGCTGTGATAAAACACCATGACCGACAGCAACTTGGAGGAAGGCGTTGATTTCACCTTCCAAGTTACAGGCCTTGATGAGGGAAAGTAGAGGCCATGGGGGGTGCTGCTTACTGGCTCCCTCCTCGTGACGTGCTCAGCCTGCTTTTTCTTACACCACCCAGAACCACCAGCCAGGGGTGGCCCCACCGCAGTGTGTGGCCCTCCACATCAGTCATTAATCAGTAAGTGCCTTTACAGATGCCGACAGGCATTCTGATGGAGGCTGCTGTTCTCAGATGACTTTAGCTTGTTTCCGGTTGACAAAGCTACCCGGGATCCATTCACTCCTCCTCACCTGATCAAAGCCACCTTCCTATCAGCTTTCCCCTTTCTTTCTCATTAGATCTGCTTACAAACTTCCTCTGCATCTTGAGTGACTTGCTTTGGTACCCTCTGTGCCCTTCATTGGGTCTCGGTCTGTACTAGTCTTTCTATATCTGGGGCATGCAGATGCTTTGTGCCAGTGTCCCACTCTTAACAGTCATGTCAATGGTTCATACAGCATAATCACGTTTTAATTAGATCTAGTAAACTTATTTGTCTAATTTTTTCTTATTTATTTATTTTTTGGTGCTGGGCATCTGGACTCTTAAGCTTGCTAAAGCCATGCTGTCCCGCTGATAAGTAATATTCTGATATCCTGCCCTTTTTAAATTTTGAGACCTGGTCTCATTATGTAGCTC